ACCATGCCTGGCTAATTTTTTTGTTTTCCTATTTTTTGTAGAATGAGTCTACTATATGTTGCCCACGCCTGGACTTTGACTGCCTGGACTCAGGAGATCCTCCCATCTCAGCCTCCCAAAGTGCTAGGATTACAGGTGTGAACCCATATCCAGCCGAATTTCCTTTAATGAAGGAATGTTGGTGGCAAATTCTCTAAGTTATTTGTCTAAAATTGTTTTTACAAGGTAGGAGGATTGCTTACACCTAAGACCAGCCTGGGCAAGAAAGTGAGACCCTGTCCTACCAAAAAGAAAAAAAAAAAGGCTGAGCATGGTGGCACATTCATGTCGTCCCAGCTACTTGTGAGGCAGGGGTGGGAGAATTGCTATGATCCTGCCACGAGTTCCAGCCTGGGCAACAGAGTGAGACCCTGTCTCTAAATAAATAAATAAATAATTTTGCTTCACTTCATTCTGCAAGATAATTTTGCTGAGAATAGAATTCTAGAATATCAATTTTCTCCCCTCTCTGAACACATTAAAATACTATATTACTGTATTTGGGCATTGTTGTTGATGTCAGGAAATCAGCTATTAGTCTAATTACTTTTCCTATAAGATGAGTTGTCTTTTCTTTCTGACTGCTTTTACAATTTGTTTTTTCTTGAGTGTTCTATTTTTGAACAATAGGTCTAGGTGAGAATTTCTGTTTATTTAATCTGCATTAAATTGTTGGGCTTCCTGGATTGGCATAGTCCAGTGTTTTGCAACCTACTGGAAAAATGTCAGCTATTGTTTCTTCAAATACTGCTTCTTTCCAGTTGTATCTCTTATCTCCTCCATCCTCCATGCCACTTAACCTCTGTTTTACATTTTCTATGTCTTTGACTCAATGAACTGCACTCTGGATAATTTATTCAGATCTATTTTCCAGTTCATTAACTCTCATATCAGTTGTGTCTAATCAATTTAACTCACCCATTGCATTTTTATTTTTATTTATTTTTTATTTTATTTTATTTTTTTAAGACAGAGTCTCACTCTGTCACTCAGGCTGGAGCACAGTGGGGCGATCTTGGCTCACTGCAACGTCCGCCTCCTGGGTTCAAGCGATTCTCCTGCCTCAGCCTCCTGAGTAGCTGGGATTACAGGCTCGTGCCACCAAGCCCAAGCTACACTGTTATTTTTTAGTAGAGACAGGGTTTCACCATGTTGGCCAGGCTGGTCACACGCTTTCATTTTTAAAATCAGCCTTTTATTTCTAAAAGTTATGTTTGTTTCCTCTTCAAATCTACTTGGTCATTTTTATGCTCTCTTCTTTCTTCTTTTTTTCTTTTTTGAGACGGAGTCTGGCGCTGTCACCCAGGCTGGAGTGCAGTGGCCGGAATCTCAGCCTCACTGCAAGCTCCGCTTCCCCGTGTTTACACATTCTCCTGCCTCCAGCCTCCTGAGTAGCTGGGACTAACAGGCTCCTGCCACCTCGCCTGGCTAGTTTTTTTGTTTTTTTAGTACAGACGGGGTTTCCACATGTAGCCAGAATGGTTCACGATCGCCTGACCTTGTGATCTGGCCCTCGGTCGTGCGCTCCACAAAGTGCTGGGACTTACAGGCCTTGAGCCACCCGCGCCATGGCCTCTTTTGTTTTTTTTTTTTTTTTTGAGATGCGAGTCTTGTCTGGGCCCAGGCTGGAATTACAGTTGGTGTGATCTCGGCTCCACTGCAACTGCCACCTCCCAGGGTTCAACGTGATTTCTGCCCAGTCGCCTCCCAAGTAGCTGGATACAGGTCGCCACACCATGCCTTGGCATTTTTTTGTGATTTTTAGTAGAACGGGTTCACCCTGTTGGCCAGGGTGGTCTCATCTCTCTGACCTCGTGATCACCACGCCTGGCTCCTAATAGTGGGGATTACAGCGTGACCACCACGCCCAGGCTGTTTTCGTTTTTTTTAACACACTGTTGCTGTCTGGAAAACTCTCCTTGAATTCTTCTTCCTCCATAGGTTTCCAAAGCTTCCTTGTAATTTTAAACTCTAAAAACGTGCTGAATATACTGGACTGTATATGTTCTGTGAATTAACAATTCCAAAACTGTTTTTCCAATCTAGACTTTTCCCCTGCTATTGTTTTGCTGGCTCTTAGCTCACATGCTCTTATTTCCTGTATGTTTATAACGTTTTGGCTGTGAGTTCATTTCCTGGAAACTTTACCATGAAATTCTTTGAGGCCTGGATTAGAGTTGAGTTCCTCCAGAGATGGATGTTTTTCCTCTCTCAGTCATCTGGGGTGCCATCAACCCAGGTTGCACTTCAAAATACGTTACCTACTTTAATACTTTCTGAACCATTACAGTCAGCGTTCAATAATTCTCGCTGGCTTCAAACCCACCTAGAGGGCCGGCCACCAGTGGTTCATGCCTGTAATCCCAGCACTTTGGGAGACTGAGGCGGGAGGATCACCTGAGATCAGGAGTTCGAGACCAGCCTGGCCAACATGGCGAAATCCCATCTCTAGTAAAAATACCAAAAAATTAGCCAGGCATGGTGGCGGGTGCCTTTAGTCCCAGATACTCAGGAGGCTGAGGCAGGAAAATCGCTTGAGCCCGGGAGGTGGAGGTTGCAGTGAGCTGATACCACACCACAGCACTCCAGCCTGGGAGACAGAGTGAGTGAGACTCCGTCTCAAAAAAACAAAAACAAAAAACCCACATTAGATCAGGCTTGCTATAGATTGTCAGGGAGAGTTTTTTTTTTTTTTCTCCCTTCCACCCAGCACCAAAACGAAGAAAGGCAAAATTCTTTGCTGCCTTTCTTCATGGCAAATTTATTTTTTGTTCATGTTCAGAGTATAGCTGTTTGGAATCCCAGCTTTACATAGGGAATCTCCTATTAGTCTCTGCGTATCAGGTGGGCCCAGGCTTCACCTCTGGTCTCCTTTCCAGCACAAGTGCTCTGACAGGCAGCTCAAGTTCACCTGGGTCGGGTTTGGCAGATACTCCTAAGGCAAAAGCTGATGTCAAGCTCACTTTCCCCCCAGATTACTGTTTTCACTGCACATTTGTACTGTTGAGGATTTCTTGCCAACCCAGTGCTTTTGAAAAGATACTTTCTATTTTTATCCAGCTCAGTGGTTACTTTCATTGGGATGTTTACTGTCACACTCCCAGAAGTGGAGGTCTGAATGTTTTCTAGTCCATCCTTTTTCTGGGCTGTGTCCCTTTAAGGGTTTCATGTTGCTATAGAGATCTCAGTTCCAATAGCCTACCTTCAACGGGCCCAGGATCTTGTTTTCTCTTCCAGGCACAACGACTAAAACCCTAGGATTTATGTTGCCAGCTGATGTTGGTGAACACCTTTAGGGCAGCGGTGGCTTCAGCATCTTTTTTTGGTCACTGGGGCGTATAGACACCAACAAATTATGTATATTTACTTTATCCGTTGGGACCAGTTGTATGCATAGAAAAATGAAGACAGGCCAGGTGCGGTGCCTCACGCCTGTAATCCCAGCACTTTGGGAAGCCCAGGCAGGCAGATCACCTGGGCGTGGTGACTCAAGCCTGTAATCCCAGCACTTTGGGAAGCCCAGGCAGGCAGATCACCTGAGGACAGGAGTTCAAGACCAGCCTGACCAACATGGCGAAACCCCATCTCTACTAAAAATACAAACATTAGCCAGGTGTGGTGGCACGTGCCTGTAATCCCAGCTACTCGGGAGGCTGAGGCAGGAGAATCTCTTGAACCTGGGAGGCAGAGGTTGCAGTGAGCTAAGATCACGCCACTGCACTCCAACCTGGGTGACAGAGCAGGACTCCTTCTCAAAAAAAAAAAAAAAAAAAGAAGGAAAAAGAAAAAGGAAGACAGGTTCTGTGACTCTAGGTAGCTTCATCTTCTTGTGGACTTCCATGTTTAACTGGTTTTCCCTTAAATTAGCTTAAAAAGGCAGAATTTTTGTTTATCTTCCCATTAGCCAGGTGCTCACCTGCTCTACCCCTCATCTCTTAGGAAATGGAAGTCCACTCTGGCAGTGGTTCTGAACCTTATTAGGGTCATCGGATGCTTGTAGAATCTGCCCAAAGCTATGAACCGTCCTCTAGGAAAACCCAGTGCCAGCCAGATGGGGATGTTCCTGATCCGCTGCTAGACCGTCAGGCGTCTGACAATTTTTCTTTCTAGAGATGGGCTTGGGGTCTGGGGCCTTGGCTTTGGTGGGCTTCTGCTTCCTCAGGAACTCACATTACCTGTACCTACCCTGGGACTCATCAGAAAGCTTTAGGCTCTGTTTGATTGGTCCATTCTATCCTTGACTGTTTTCATATAGTCAAGTGGTTGATTTTGCCAATGGGCCTAAGCCATGTCAGTCTAAGGGGAAGTTTTTGTTTTTTCTTTTATAGTGGGTCTGATTTTCCTAACTGCATTTAGCAAATAGCAGTTCCTGGGGCCACTATTGGTCTGGCCCTGATTTATTGTGTTTTCAGTTTGTACTTGAGTTTCGACCTATTTCAAGAAGTCTGTGCCTCTTTTGATTTGTTCTTCAGTGGGTTTTTAATAAACACAAGCAGTCCATTTATCTTTTTGCCTGTGCTTAAGTCTTGGTCTTTCTGTGACTCCCTGCATTTCTAACCTGGCCTTTTTCTTAAACTCTCTGCACTCCTTTCCATCTGTAACATGAATGGGCTGAAGGAGTTCAGACATGCTTGCGCTGCACTTTTCTGGGCACCTCGGCAGCTGGTGGGGAGCAAGGGAATGGGCCGTGGGGTGGGGATGCGCCCCCCAGCTCTGCTTCCGCCACAGCAGGCCTGCCTTTATGTGCTTTATATACGAGAACTGGGGTGACATTTATTTTGAGCACGGTTCCACGGGGGGATCCCTGCTGTCTGTGTGTGAGTTTTCCCTGAGCAGGAGTCCTATCTTGTGGGGCGCAGGTGGAAGCAGGGAGAAAAGGCGCTTGTGTCTAACTCAGCCCATCTCTGACACGGTGGCAGATGCCCCTTTCCCCCAACCGCTGATTCTCTTCCTTGTTCCAGTTCCAGGAAGGATGTTACCTTTGATGATGAGAGTGGTAATCCTGCTGCTGCTCCCCGCGGGTCAGGCTGCCCCGAAGGATGGAGTCACAAGGTAACAGGGTTATGAGAACAGGGCTGGGAGGAGGGAGAGTCTCTAGAGAATCCAAGGGTGTGGTGGGCCCTCCGGGAGGCAGGAGACTAGGGTGTAGGTTCCCTGATCTCTGTATCTCTCCGCCACCAGCCTCCTGTCTTGTGCCTGTCAGAGTGCCACAAAGTGGGCATTCAGTATATGCTTGCTGGACCCATTTGGAATCAGGGAACTCAGCTCCAGTGTGTCATGCAGCACAGGGAAGAAGCTATGGCACCAGGGCAGTGGGGGCTGCAGTTGTTTGTTTGTTTGTTTGTTGTTTTTTTGTTTTGAGACTGAGTCTCACTCTGTCGCCCAGGCTGGAGTGCAGTGGCATGATCTCAGCTCACTACGACCTCCACCTCCCGGGTTCAAGCATTCTTCTGCCTCAGCCTCCCAAGTAGCTGGGACTACAGGTGCCCACCACCACGCTGGGCTAATTTTTGTATTTTTAGTAGAGACGGGGTTTCACTATATTGGCCAGGCTGATCTCGAACACCGTGCCCGGCCTGCAGTTTTGTTATCAAGACCTTAAGGTGGGCCGGGTGTGGTGGCTCACAACTGTAATCCCAGCACTTTGGGAGGCCAAGGCAGACAGATCACCTGATGTCAGGAGTTTGAGACTAGCCTGGCCAACGTGGTGAAACCCCATCTCTACAGAAATAAAAAAAAATTAGCCGGGCATGGTGGTACATGTCTGTAATCTCAGCTACTGAGGAGGCTGAGGCAAGAGAATAGCTTGAACCTGGGAGGTGAAGGTTGCAGTGAGCCAAGATCAAGCCTCTGCACTCAGCCGGGGTGGCAAAGCGAGACTCCATCTCAAAAAGAACAAAAAAAGACCTTATGGTGGGAACACCAAAGAAGTAGAGATCATTAGCATGTCATTTCTATGTTATCTGAATACTTTCTGAAGGTTTTATTTATAAATACTGTGCAATGGGTATGCTGGGTAGAAGGGGAAACAGCCACAGAACAGCCACAAGGGCTGGTAGCCGTGACAAAAGTCGCTGCAACCCCTGCCAGCTCTCTGGCATCACAGGTCTGGATTGACTTGGGCAAACAGTTAACCCAGTCCAGAATTAGGAGCACATTTGGAGCTTCAAGGACTGACAAAGAGATCCTGAGCAGCTTGAAACCGCAGAACCAACAGATATATCCTGTCCTTGAAAAAGTATAGGTCAATTTTATGTCATGGAGCAAACTGGGTCTATATAAAGCTGAGCAGTGCCATCGGGCTCCACTAGAGACCTGCCCTCGGCTCCCAGCATCGAAGGGGAGGGGTGCCGTGACCCATGTTGTCCTGCCACTCACTGGGCTGTTTTCTTGAATCTCTAACTTGTGTCTAGTAGGTGTGGCCTCACCTGCCTTTACCTAACCAGATGTTTTTATTTGGGTTTTCATTTAAAGTCTAAGGTAGCCAGCTGCAAAAACAGAGTCTGAGGGAGTTAAGGATTTGGTTCCAAGGAGACCAGAAGAGCCTACTCCCTACAAGGTGTTTGGAATTTGGGAGACAACTCCCTTTGAGTCTGGGGAGAGAACTCTGCCAGGAGATTGGAAGGCAGAAGGTTGACAGGCTGGGCCCTCAGGGAGGCTCTCTCCAAGGGTGGTCCTCCCCTTCCTCCTCCAGGCCAGACTCTGAAATGCAGCATCAGCTCCTGCCCAACCCCTTCCAGCCAGACCGGGAGCAGCTCAGGTGAGTAGGCTGAGCTGGGGGTGCTTTCAGGGAGACGACCAGGCCCGGGGCTGCAGACTCACCTCTCCCGGGCTGATTCTCCACTTTTCTGACAGACTTCTGCAGAGCTACCTAAAGGGACTAGAAAGGACAGAAGTGCAGCCGGAGCATCTGAGCCGGGAGCAGGGTGAGGGGCTGGGCTGATGGGGCCAGGGACGGGAGGCTCTGGGCAGCCAGATCTGGGACTGACCTCGGCTGCCCCATTGACTCCTGCCTTCTCCACCTCCCCAGGCACCTCTTCTAATCCAGCTTCTCTTCTCTAGTTCTCCTCTACCTCTTTGCCCTCCATGACTATGACCAGAGTGGACAGCTAGATGGCCTGGAGCTGTTGTCCATGTTGACAGCTGCTCTGGCTGCCGACTCTCCTACCACCAACCCGGTAAGCTCTGCTGGATGGAGATCCCCCGTAAAGGAGACCCAGTGCTTTGGGGTTTTGGTCTTTCTCATCATAACTCTTTTGGTGAATCCTCTGTAAAAGGAGGGCTCAGAGCTTACACGGCAGGGATGCAAGGGTGGGTTGGGGAGGGTCAGGACCCCTGGGGAACATCCCTGTCACTGGAGACCCCACAGTGACTCTGCTTCCACAGGTGATCTTGATAGTGGACAAAGTGCTCGAGACCCAGGACCTGAATGGGGATGGGCTCATGACCCCTGCTGAGCTCATCAACTTCCCGGGAGAGGCCCCCAGTCACGTGGAGCCCGGAGAGCCCCTTGCTCCATCTCCTCAGGAGCCACAAGCTGTTGGGAGGCAGTCCCTGTTAGCTAAAAGCCCATTAAGACAAGAAACACAGGAAGCCCCAGGTCCCAGAGAAGAAGCAAAGGGCCAGGTAGAGGCCAGAAGGGAGTCTTTGGATCCTGTCCAAGAGCCTGGGGGCCAGGCAGAGGCTGAAGGAGATGTTCCGCGGCCCAGAGGGGAAGCTGGGGGCCAGGCAGAGGCCAGGGAGAATGGAGAGGAGGCCAAGGAACTTCCAGGGGAAACACTGGAGTCTAAGAACATCCCAAATGAGTTTGAGGTGCACATTGTTCAACTGGAGAATGATGAGATCTAGATCTCGAAGATACAGGTACCCCACGATGTCTCAGTTTCAGAACATAAGCCCTGAAGCGGGCAGGGGAATGTACGCTGGGACAAGGACCACCTCTGTGCCCCCTGTCTGGTCCCAGTAGGTATCAGGTCTTCCTGTGCAACTCAGGGAGACCCTAAGTTAAGGGGCAGATTGCCAATAAAGAACTGAATGAATTCATCCCCCCGGGCCACCTCTCTACCCGTCCAGCCTGCCCAGACCCTCTTAGGGGAACGGGGATTGGGGACACTGAAAGGACAGGGATGCCGCCTTCCCAGTGTTTCTGGGCCTCACGGTGCTCCGGCAGCAGACCGCATGGTGCCAGCCATGGCCAGCTGCAGAGGACCCAGTGAGGGAAGCTCAGTCTATCCCTGAGCCCCAAACACTCTCTGGTTCCCCCTTAGCTGGTGTTCAGACACCCCATGCTCTCCTGCTGCTCAGGGCAGGTGGCCCCATCACCCTGTATCTGCCCCCACCCCCAGTAATGTTAATCATCACTAAAACTTTCTGAGAGCCTCGTACACATCAGGCATCATGCTGGGCATTATATATATTACATGATTTTATCCTCGCAATAATTCTGTAGCCAGGCAGAATTGGCTCCATTTGACAGATGAAGAAATTGAGGCGGATTGTGTTAAGCGCTGTACCCTAAGGTGACATGCAGCTAATTAAATGGCAGATTTGAATCCAGGTCTGTCTGACTCTAAAGCCCTTTACATTATATGCTCTTTACATTATAAGGCCTTATCCACTCTATATTGGAGTTGGCCCCAATTCCAATATGTGTTCCAGATCCGACCTCCCTGAGGACAACACTCTATCTTGGGTCACATTTGTGGCTGAGGCATCCCCTTAATTCCAAGGTGGGCTCCACGGGTGAGACTTTCAGGCTCTGGGGCAGTCAGCGGGAGGAGATATTTTTGGACAACAAAGACCCCACCAAATCACAGGCTGGTGGGCAGGGCAGAGGAGGCGCCCCACCCCCTCGCCCCCCACTGGCCTGTCAGTTTGGCTCAGCCGTGTGGACTCCCAGCTTCTGAGCTATGGGAATAGAGTCTGCACAACGCAGGGCCCCAAAGAGCTCTCATGGCTTCTGGTTCTTTGGCAGGTTCGCTGGGTATGGGGCACTGAGTGTCCTCCCCAGCCAGGGCAGAGCTGGCGGCAAGCCTGGGGCACTTCTTGCTGCTATAGCCCAGGCAGCCCCTCCTCTGGGCCTGGGTGGAGAGGTTAATTTGGGGAATGGACACAAGGAGGGAGGACTGGAGAGTCAGAGCCTCAGGAATGCCCAGCCAGAGCAGTTCAGACATCGAGGACAGAAGCTGCCAGGGGAAGCTGGCTCTGAGGAAGATTTATTCGCTGTGAGGCTCTGCAGGGAGAGACGTGTGGGGAACACAGGACACAGGCAGAGTCCTCCCCACAGCCTGCATCTGTCCCCTGAGCAGGGCAACCTGGATGCCAGGCTGGATGGAGGGGAGAAGGCGATGCAGCCGCAATGTCAGCCTCCATAGTGTGCGGGGAGCCGGCACCTCCTACCGCACCGGCTCTGACACGATGCCATCAAAGCCCTGCTGGCCACACTTCTTGCCGGCCACCTGGCATCCGAATCTCAGTGCTTCCTGCACGCTCCTCCCTGGAGGAGGGACAAGTAACTAGGTCAGCCAGGTGTTTGGGGCAGGGACAGGTCCCAGTCCTTTTCCCCTCCTGCTGCCATACTCACCCTGGGAGAGGCTGAAGATGACGGAGGCATTGAAGGTGTCTCCAGCCCCCAGGGTATCCACCACGCGGGGTGGCGGGAAAGCATCCGAGTGGATCAGTTTGCCATCAGGGCCCAGGGCGTCGGCGCCCTCCTCAGCCCAGGCACAGACAAGCACAGCCCTGCAAGACAGCTCCACTCAGCTGGGTGTTAGCCCACTCCATCCCCCCAGCCATGCCCCCAACCCCAGGGTGGACCCCTGGAGTCCAGGCTCATCCTGTACCCCCTAGAGCCCCTTCCTGGCTTCCCCGGCTCACCCTTTCCTCACACGACCATACAAGCCCCTCAGGGCTTCCCCTGCTGACTGGAACCCCAAGTGCTTGGCCACATCTTTGCTGACAAACACCTGTGGGCAGTGGAAGAGAAGCTGGTGGTCACTTCTAACTCTTCACTCACCAACAGCAGCCTGGCGTTCCCCCATTACAACACGACTCCCCTAACACGTCCACATAGATCCAAACATAGCATCTCACTGTCCCATGGGAACGTGGTTTTCTTTTTTCTTTATTTTTTGTAAAGACAGGGTCTCCCTGCATTGTCGAGGCTGGTCTCGAACTCCTGGCCCCAAACGATCTTCCTGCCTCAGCCTTCCAAATTTCTGGGATTACAGGTGTGAGTCACCGCACCCGGCCAGAAACACATTTTTATTGATGCTTATATATAATAGAATACCTAAATTGTGAAACAAAAGCCCTGGTCCGTTTGTTCTCGGATTAGTGGATTGAAAACCACAGAAAGCCTTGAGCGCCACCTTGGGGTGGAATCTACCACCGCCGTGCTGGCTCCCCGGAGCAGTTTTGCTGGGTTTTCCCACAACTATGTCCTGTGGGTATGGTTTCTTCATCTAGAAAGCAACGGGGCTCCCTCAACCCTGCCTACACTTTAGAATCTCCAGAGGAAGTTTTGGTAGAAACAAAAAAAAAAAAACACCGAAGCCTTAACTCTACCCATGCGAATCAACACCAAGATGGTGCGGGCTCAGGCACTGCAATCCTCCTGCCTCAGCCTCCTGAGTAGCTGGGACTCTAGGTACACACCACCCTGCCAGGAATTTTTTTTTTCTTTTTTTTGTATAGAGACAGGGTCTTGCAATCTTGAACTCCTGGGCTGAAGTGATCCTCCTGCATTGGGCTCCCAAGGTGCTGGGATTACAGGTATGAGCTACTGCTCCTGGCTCATTTCTTTATTTTCATAGACACAGGGGTCTCACTATGTTGCCCAGGCTGGTCTTGGACTCCTGGCATCAAGCAATCCTCCTACCTCAGCTTCCCAAAGCGCTGGGATTACAAGTGTGAGCCACTGCACCTGGCCTGCATTCATCTTTTTTAATATGCAGCCAAGGTTGAGGACCTTGGCTGGATGGTCTCCAACCAACTTCTGCTATGATGCTGGACTTATCTCCCAAATTCCATTTACATCCAGCCTTTTCAAAAAGAGACTCATGTAAGTCTCCTTCCCACCCTCCCCTCACCCCTAGCAGCCCCCACAACCTGCCAGACACCCCTGAGTTGGAAGAAACCTCAGAGAACAGTTGTGTGTCCTCATTCTGCAGAGGAAAAGACTGGGGAGCCCCAGAGAGGAGCTGCTTCCACACAGGCTTGCCCTGTGGCTGTCTAGGCCCTACCCAAGCCCTCTGGGTATTCTTACACCCATGCACCCACCTGGGGCGGAGACATTCTACTCCTTGGTCACTGCTGAGACCTGCACTGGAGTCCAAGGCTAGGGGTCTACCTCTTTGCTTTAACCCCCATCCCCCATCTTCCAACGCCACCAAACCAGGAACCACTATTCCAATTGTGGTAGGCAGGATTAAAGGACTCTGGCTCCCTTTAAGAACCAAATTAGCCAAAAGTGGCAAAGAGAGGCTGAATGGGGCACCCACCACGTCTCCGTAGCCAAACAGCTGAAAGAGCTCCTCTCGTGGCTTCTCCACCTCCACGGACACCCGGATCTTCTGCTCTGGAGGCTGCCTGGTGTTGTGCGCGTCTATCCGCTGCAGCATCTTCACCTGCTCCGATGCGTTCCGGCCCTGGGGCAGGACAGGGCAGCTCAGGACTGCTGGGCACTGCCTGGTCAATCTGGCTCATTCTTCCTGCCCTGCTGAAACTCTGGGTGCGGAGGGAGAGGGTCTCGGGGAGGCTGGGTTAGAACCCCATCCTAAATTACAAAATTCAGAGCTGTCGTGGACCTTGAAGATCTATAAACCAGCTACTCCATTCCACAGATGAGAAGACTGAAGAATAAAAGAGACACTGAAAGACCTACCATAGGTTAAATGATGGAGCTAGAACTCAGGACTTCTCAGGATTTCCTCCCACCCAGACTCCAAAACCTCTCTTGGAGTAAAGGCTCTAGTTCTCTTTATTTGGGAGCTGAGTTAGGCCCTGTCCTTCCTGCTTCCCCAGAGGTAATGGGTCAGGCCCTAAGCAGTCAGACGTCCGCCAGAGGCAGAGTTGGAGGCGGTGGGGCAGCCCGTAGCACAGAAAGCACAGGACTTTGCCTGGAGCCAGCTGTGCCTATGTTCTGCTGTGTGACCCTGAGTAAGTCACCTAATCTTTCTGGGCCTTAGTTTCCTCACCTGCAGACATAAGGAAGGATGGAGAGGGAATGAGGGGGTTGGATTCATTTATCTCTAAGGTACTTCATGGTTCAAAGAAACCAAGGAGGCAGAACATGTGGAGGAGGCTGGCAGGTTGAGCCCCTCAAAACACAGGTAAGGCAGGGCTTGCCTCAATGTGGATCCACTTGAACTGGGTCAGATCAACCTTCTCAAAGTCCGTAGCAGACACATCTGGCAGGCTCCTAGGTCACAGGATGGAAAGGACAGAGAAGAAGGAGCATGATGGGGTCAGCCAGGGCCAGGATCTCTAACTGGCAGTTGTGGACCCTGTGCCTTCACTGCCAGCAGCAGGGCAGGAAGCTGGATCCACAGCACAGGATTCTCAGGCTCAGCTCCAGAGTGGTCACTGTTACAGTGTGCTGGGGTGCCCCTTCCTGAGTTTGAGGTTATGATCAAATTATCTCAGGGTAAACTGAACAGCAATACGTGTCAACTGGCCAGGTCTGTGTGCCTTGGAGACTGCATCTCCCAGAATGCACCAAGAGTGCCAAGCCTACACTTCCCAGAATCCCTTGCAGCAGCACGTGGCTCCCACTGGCAGAGCCCTGGGCAACTATAAAGCCCATGACCCTGTGCCTGGGCTTCCTGGTCTCCCTCACTTCTGGCGCTCCAGCGTTGGGGTTTACCTATGGCACCCTTGTCCTGAGTTTAGTAGCTCCCTGTTGCAACCCTGAGGTCAAAGTAGTTAGCACTAGAGGAAGACTTTGTGTTTGGCTGGTTTAGGAAAGGAGATCCCCAATAGGGGTCTGCTCCTGAGCCAGAGACCACAGCTCAGCCAATGTCCCCACTCCACGTTCTATAGCCCAGTCCTTCCTCTTAACTATAGCTGTGTGATCTACCCGGCCCTTTTGGAGGCTGCTTCCTCACTGATAAATGGGGCCGAAACCCCCAGCCTCCCTGCAGGCTGCTGTAGTTGCAGGTAACGTGTGTGAATGTGCCTGGACTGAGGCCAGTGGGCAATAAACATTTCTCCTCAGAGCTCCTCTCCTGTAAATAGCTATGTTGCGTCCTTGATCAGGGTTACTACAGATTGTTGCTTAACAAGCATTTGACTAGGATTGCCCAGTGTGAAGGTCACCTGTAGCACATATGTCTGCCTACTCACTCACTGCACATATGGAGCCCAGGGATGGCTGCCCCTCCTCCAGGCCCAGCAGTCAGGCTGGGCAGTAGGGACAGCCTGAACCTCAGGGCTGCTGGGCTTGGGCCCTCTCAGCTGTAACACTACCTGGCACATACTAGGTTCTCAGATAACTAAACCTCTAAAATCCTGCAGGAGGGAGTCTGCAAGGGATAAGGTTCTAGGCCCATGGGGCCTCCCTTGAGTGGCCTGGGACCCAGAAGGGAACGATAGCCCCTTCCCCCAGGTCAGCACCATGTTAGACGACCCCAATCTGCTGACCCAGGCAGGGTTCCCTTTCCCCTCCTTCAGCAATGGCTGTGAATGGTGTGTGGCGTGTGTGGCCTGGCTTCATCATGCCGAAACCTTTGGGGGGCTCATCTCTTTTACACACCCAAACCCCAGCTCCTTGGTGCCATGCTGCAGGCTGGCAACTCTGGGGCTGACCCTGGAAATCCCAGTGGGCCCCCCCAGCCCTTCTTAAGAAGGGTTGACTCCCATCTCCCACCCTTCTGTCCTGAGAACAGTTTCCCCGCACCCACACCCAAGCTGCCGATTAACTATTTAATAATTATGGAGGAATCACGTCATAAATTACATTTTATATAGGCCTGCCTGCCCTTCTGTGGTGTTGACCAAGGCCAAGTCACCAGGCACAGCAAAGCCCATCCCTTCCCACCTCACTTTTCCCCTAATTGAAAGCAATTAGGAAATCACTGGACATTTTGGCAGGGGAGCAATTTCTGGTACACAGAAGCCGCAGAGGGGGCAGTTGGGATGCGCACAGTGGCGAGTAAGGGAACTGATTGAGCCAGCTGATTGGGGGGTTGTAGCGGGGCGAGGCCAGGGGGCCTTACGTGTCATGGAGCACAATGGTACGGTTGCCATTGGAGTTGTTGATGATGCAGCAGGAGCTGGGGGTGTCCCCCTTGCTCTGCCAGGCCACCTGAGACACGTCCACACCCCGCCGCCTGAAGTCGGCCACCAGGAAGCTTAGGGTGGAGGCCGGGCCAGGAAAAGGGTAAGGAGACACAGATTAGAGCCTGCAAGTGGCCTTGACCTCCAATAGGAGTGGAGAGAGGGTGCTGGAGCACACGAGCCTCTAAGAGAAGAAGAGTCCTGTTCTGGGAGTTTTGGTGACGGCGGCAGCAGCTGGCAAGGCACAGACAGTTGTACAAACCTGTCGTAGTATAGGATGGTGCGGCTACCACTGGCCTCGTTGATGATGACCGTGGCGATGGGGACGGAGCCCGTGGTCTGAAAGACCGTGTAGCGTAGGTCCACAGAATAGCGGCGGAGGTCATCCAGGACAAAACTGCCAGGGCGGAGTAACCCGAAGCGGGTGCGGTTCGACAAGGGTTTTGGGGACTGGAGGGTAGCTGGCAGGGCCACTAGGGACCCTGAAAGGCAGGGGTGCAAGCAAAGGGGCTGGGAGAGAACTAGGAATCATATTCTTGCCACAGGTAGTGCAACAGGGCAAGAGATGCAGGAGTGCAGAGCCTGGAGTTCAGAGAGAGAAACACTAAGGGCCATCCTTTTAGGTCTTGGCTGAAGCACGCTCCAATCCTGACTGTTTTTCAGTCCAACTCAAGCTGGAAAATACTTGCTGCTGTTCGTAAAGCTAGACAGGACCCTAGAACCTGTACCCTGTTTGAACCAAGCAGGTGGGGGCACCGTGGCTGGTTTCCTGCAATGCCCAAGCAGGATTAATAATTAATCTCCAAGGCAATACTTTGCCCCCAGCTGTCCTCCACAAGCTCATCCATGGTGCTGTCCTCTCTGAGTCCCTCCTAGTCCTAATGCTGTGATTCCTCTCACTCTCTGCCTGCCTCCAGGAGGCCCAGCCTGGAAGTGGTGCTGCCTTGGTGAGCCAGCTCACTGCTCTGTCCTCCTGCAGTCAGGTGAACCCTCCTGGGCAATTAGCTGGCTCTCCGTGCCTGATGCCATTCAGTGTGGGCCTGGTCCAGGACTCTCTCTCAGAATGCCCTCCACGCAGAGTGAGCCCCGGGGCAAGGACAAGAGGTCAGTCCCAGCCCTTCCAGCCCTCTCTGGACATGCACTGTTCTGTGCTCAAGAACTGGCAATTATGCCCAGCAGTGCAGCCACCATCCTGGCCAGAGCCCGCTTTCAGCAACACCAAAGCTGGATAATACAGATTTGCATGAAGATACCAAGTCAGGGCATCATCCCTTCACTTACAACTCCCTTAAATAGTAGCTTTCCCAAAGCATTGGAAATATGGTTTGGTTTGCCAAATAACGTTTGCACCCCAGTGCCTGGGACATGGCAGGTGCTCTCTAAATGTTTGTCAAGACATGGGGAGAATTCTGAATAGCCCGCCCATCGGCATGATTGCTGTGTAAATGATAGTCGACCACCCTAAGCCAGAGCCACAGTCCTGCCTCCAGCTCAGAGGAAAGGAGCTATTGAAGAGGTTTAATGAGTCACCAGCCCTTGGCTCTGAGCCGTCCTGTCCCATCTCACAGGGCAGATTCTCTCCCTCTATTCTCTTCCTGCCAGTTCATCAAGGCAGGGAGTTTGGCTGTAGCTCAGGTGGGTGGACTCTGCCGGCAGCCCCCTTCAAACCAGGGTTCAAAGGGCTGCCCTTCACAGGCCAGCAACCTGGCAGTCTGCCCCGGTGCCCACAGTGTGCAAAGTGTGGGCCTCACCTCCTGATAAGTGCTTGCTGAGTCGGCAGCGCCAGGGGTCAAAGGGTTCTGAGGTCCCTGCAGCAGCCAACATGGAGGGCGTGCATGAGCCACTTAGGGCTATAGCCCTGACAGCCGGGGAGCTGGAAGGTGTGGGTTCTGAGCCCAGCTTTAGCACGTGGTTTCAGGGTGTCCTTGAACAGGGTACTCTCACTGCTTCAGTGAACAACAGGGACATGAGCACCAGCCCTGCCCCTCAGCTGGGACAGAAACTACGGGCCTGGACCTGGGGGCCGTGGATGGTGGCCATTCCTGAGGGAGGATGGGTACTGTGTGTCCCTAACTGTCTTCTGCCTCAAGCACGGCCAAGATAAGGGACTTAAGATAAGGGACTTAAGATAAGGCAAAGGAAAATCCACCGCAGAGTCTGCAGGAAGCAAGGAAGGAGAAGGGAAGAGGCTGAAGCAGGCTCCAGAAGTGTCCAGGAAACAAGCTGTGGCAAGGAAAGCTTCACAGGGGCAGCATCAGCCCTCGAACCACAGAGAGGCCGCGCCAAGGCAGGGCTGGGAGTCTGGTGCTCCACTGTGCCCCCTCCCCGCATTTCTGCCGGACACAACCCATTTCTAATCCCCCACCCACCCAGGGTGGACACATCCTTCTTCTCCCCCCACGATGCAGGCAGGCCTTCCCCAGTGGACTCTCCCTCCTGGACTTACTCAGCAACATGGCCAGGGGCCATTGAGCCCATGAAGGCACAGGGGGCTCCGAGCAGGGAGAGAACGGTGCAGGAGTTGGACGCGTTGCCTCCGCGTTGCCATCTCTGGGACAAGCACCTGCAAAGCACAGGGAGGGTCCCTGCAGCCCCAGCAGGCTGGTCCCAAACACAGTCCCCTGTATAGGGGCCTAGAGAATGTGACAGCTGGGGACTCTTCTCAGAAATCATCTAGGCTACCGTCTCACTTTGTACCTGGGGCAGCTGAGGCCGGCCAAGGGAAGGAGCTTGGCTGACAGTGGTGTCTACCTCCCCAGCCGAGGCTAAATTCAAGCTCACAGCAGTTCCTTTCGATATTTCCATCTATTCCTAGGGCATCAGGAAACCACTCACTTGGGTCCATCACTATTTGAGAGCCCCACTAACTCCAGGTCATCTCCTCCTCACCTTTTACCCCAGTCAGAGCTGCTCTGGAGGCTGCACCTTTGGCCTCCTCCTTGAGTACTGGAGCACCTCCAAGGACCTTGGGGACTAAGTGCCTCTTCCCAAAGGTATCACATTTACATCTACCCCTGTCATAGGAGTGTCTACTTCAATAGAAACTGCAGAGCTATAAAATCAAATGAGTAAGACAGGACAGCAAACCTGGACGTTGGTCATTTAAGAAGTGGCAGCAGGGAGCACTTCTCCATCTTTACTAAGAACCGATCAAAAGGAAACTAACAAGACACACGTGAAGGGCTACATTGTCATTAGCAGCAAAAATGATAACTTTCACATACAGGGTCAAAGCACTGATCCTCTCACAGTATCACTGGAGCCCAGATGAGAAGTCATTGATGAATGTTATTACTTTTGAGGTAAGAATGGTGTTGTTATTTCTATTGTGTCAGATCCAATAATAATAATAATTGTGGCAGTTTACAATAAAAGGAACAGTACCAAAGAACCACTAATTAAGAGAAAAAACTGAACCAGAATTTTTAGGCCAAAGCATATTTGTACACAAAACTTCAGTTTTGGGAAAAGGGGAGCATGATGTCATTAGAAAAAAATTATAGTAGGCCAGGTGCAGTGGCTCATGCCTATAATCCCAGCACTTTGGGAGGCCAAAGCAGGAGGATCACTGGAGCCCAGAAGTTCAAGACCAGCCTGGGCAACAAAGGGAGATTTTGTCTCTAAAAAAAAATTTGAAAATTAACTGGGTGTGGTGGTGCATACTCAGGAGGCTGAAGTTGGTGGAGCGTATGAGCCCGGGAGGTTTAGGCTGTAGTGAGCCATGATACTGCACTCCAGCCTGGGTGGCAGAGTAAGATCCTGTCTCAAAAACAACAATAACAACAATGACAAAGGATAGTAATTTTTTTTTTTTTTTTTGAGACAGAGTCACTCTGTCATCCAGGCTGGAGTACAATGGCATGACCATGGTTCACTGCAGCCTCAACCTCCCCTGCTCAACTGATCCCCCCACCTCAGCCTCCTGAGTAGCTGGGATTATAGGTGTACATCACCATGCCCTGCTAATTAAAAAAAAATTTTTTTGTGGAGATGGAATCTCCTTATGTTGCCCAGGCTGGTCCTGAACTACTTGGCTCAAGTGATCCTCCTGCCTTGGCCTCCCAAAGTGCTGGGATTATAGGTATGAGCCACTGCACCCAGCTGGTCAAAGATTTTCAAGCTGGCTGGGCGCGATGGCTCACAACTGTAATCCCAGCACTTTGGGAGGCTGAGGTGGGAGGATCACGAGGTCAGGAGTTCAAGGCCAGCCTGGGCAAGATGGTGAAACCCTGTCTCTATTAAAAATACAAAAATAAGCCAGATGCGGTGGCAGGTGCCTGTAATCCCAGCTACTCGGGAGACTGAGGCAGGAGAATCGCTTGAACCCAGAGGGTGGAGGTTGTAGTGAGTCGAGATCACGCCACTGCACTCCAGCCTGGGCAACAGAGTAAGACTCTGTCTAAAAAAAAAAAAAAAAAGAAAAGAAAAGAAAAGAAAAGAAAAGACTTTCAAGCTGAGCTTTACAGAAATGTTTATGAAAAGAAAGGAGGAATCTTGAAGGATCTGTGACTTGATCAATAGTGAAGGACAAAGCTGACGTGGGAACCCAAGTTTCCTGACACCAAAGCCATTGCTATTTACTCCGTATTTTAAAACTAAAAGTAGTTAGGCCCAAGCTTTGATGAGGTTTCTAAGAAAGGGTATAGAATTTTACTCTGGGACGGCCAGGCACGGAGGCTCACGCCTGTAATCCCAGCACTTTGGGAGGCCAAAGTGGTTGGATCATGAGATCAGGAGATCAAGACCATCCTGGCTAACACGGTGAAACCCCATCTCTACTAAAAATACAAAAAATTAGCCAGGCGTGGTGGCGGGCGCCTGTAGTCCCAGCTACTCAGGAGGCTGAGGCAGGAGAATGGCATGAACCCGGGAGGCAGAGCTTGCAGTGAGCAGAGATCGCGCCACTGCAGTCCAGTCTGGGTGACAGAGCGAGACTCCGTCTTAAAAGAAAAAAAAAAGGAAAGAAAAAAAAGAAAAGAATTTTACTCTGGGGAAACCCTTCAAAGTCACACTGATATTTCCTGTGCAGAAATGCTCAGCTGAAGGCTGGGCACGGTGGCTCACGCTTGTAATCCCAGCACTTTGGGAGGCTGAGGCAGGTGGATCACCTGATGTCAGGAGTTTGAGACCAGCCTGACCAACATGGAGAAACTCCGTCTCTACTAAAAGTACAAAATTAGCCGGGTGTGGTGGCACATGCCTGTAATCCCAGTTACTTGGGATGCTGAGGCAGGAGAATCACTTGAACCCAGGAGGCAGAGGTCGCAGTGAGCCAAGATCGCACCATTGCACTCCAGCCTGGGCAACAAGAGCGAAACTGTCTCAAAAAAGAAAAAAAAGTGCTCAGCTGAGCAGCGGGATGCTTTCTGGAAGTCTCTCGTTGGTATGGACTCTGGGAGGCAGGGGACATGTCCCAGGGGTCTGGCTGAGCTCCAGGTGGCAGCTCCCGAGAGTCCCCAACTGCTTGTGAAGCACAGAGACCCTGGGACAGGCGGGGCTGAGACACCCAGGAAGGTCTGGGTCCCCACTCAGATGTGCTTCTCTGGGAGGCACAACAGTCCAGGAGCCAGGCTGCAGAGAGCCAGAGCCATGGGGCTGTGGGGGAGGCATGGCCTGGAGGGCAGGGAGCATGATGGACTGGGGAGGGGCTCTTTAGAGAGGGACCTCTCTCAGTGCCCACCTTCAGAACCTGCCCCATCAGTGTGGGCGCTAGCAGGACCTCCTTCCCCTACCTTCCTGACAAAATTAAGCTGAGAGGAAATGGGACTTCAGCTCTGACAGAGGTGCTGACTCTTTCCCCAGGCTCTCCACGGTCCTCGGAGAACCCGTGGCCCTGGAATTTGCACTGTTCCCCTGAGATGAACCCAACTCCTCACTGAGTGCCATGCCCTGGGGCTGCCTCGACCTTGCACAGCGGGTTAGATCCACACAGTGGCATGCCTGTGCCCCTTCCCCACTGTCCCTGCACCCCTGGCAAGGAGCCCTAACCTCTGGCAAACCAAAGTAAAGGGTCAACTCCAAGAACAGCAAAGAGACAGGGTATACAGGAGATGACAGAGGGCAGGGACCCTGGACTCCATGCTAGGAGCTGCAGCTGCTGCTGTGCCACCATTTAACTCTGTGGCCTTAGAAAACTTCTCCAAATCTTCAGCTTCTTTATGTATATAAAACATTTCACTGATCTTTACACAGTTTCCATGGGCTGCTGGGAGGAGAGTATAAAATAATATATGTGATGGTGCTTTGTGACCCCAAAGCCTGGGGAGTGCTGGGGTCTCTCACCTCAGTTAGCCTCTCAGTCATCAGTGCTGTCGTGTCTTTCTGGAGTTCAGTCTTGAACTGCCTCTTATCCAGTTCTTAGCTGGGACAACTAATATAGCCCAGGAGCAATTCTCAGTGTTCTAAGCACTCACTGACTGCACCAAGAGAAAGCTAGTGTCCCGCCCCACAGAAATGCCTTCACAGCATTACAGCGTAACTAATGGTGGGGCCCTTAGCAAGAGGAAATACAAGAACCAATAAGCCGGGTGTGGTGGCTCATGCCTGTAATCTCAGCACTTTGGGGGACTGAGACGGGCAGATAACTTGAGGTCAGGAGTTTGAGACCAGCATGGCCAACATGTCTCTACAAAGAAAAGCCCTGTCTCTACAAAAAAACAAACAAACAAACAAACAAACAAACAAAAAGCCGGGCATGATGGCATACGCCTGTAATCCCAGCTACCCAGGAGGTTGAGGCAGGAGAATTGCTTGAATCCAGGAGGCGGAGGTTGCAGTGAGCCAAGATCGTGCCACTGCATTCCATCCTGGGCAACAGAGCGAGACTCCATCTCAAAAAGAAAAAGAACCAACAAATCAGCTGGATGCAGTGGCTCACGCCTGTAATCCCAGCACTTTGAGAGGCCAAGGCAGGAGGACTGCTTGAGCCCAGGAGCTCAAGACCACCCTGATCAACATAGTGAGAAACCATCCCTACACAAAATTTAAAATACAGCTGTGATGGTGACGTGCGTGTGTAGTCCCAGCTACTCAGGAGGCTGAGGTGGGAGGATCACTTGAGTCTGGGAGGTCAAGGCTGCAGTGAGCATGGTTGCGCCGCCACTGCACTCCAGCCTGGACGACACAATGAAACCCTGTCTCAAAAAAAGAAAAAAAGAAAAAAAAAGAACCAACAAGTGACTTCAGTTTCCAGCAGACAACTGAGAAGGATGTTTCCACTACTAAACAGTGTTCCCTGACCTTTGTGAAGAGGACTTCTGGTAAACTCCTCTTGGAATTTAGCACCAGGAAAAAGCTTGCCGGGGCTCTATCCATACATAAACCATGACATCTCATGTTTGCCTCCAGTACCAGCAAGCCCTGAGCTCTAGTCAAAGCTCAAATACCACGGTCTTAAATGTTCTGCAACAGTGTAACTGTACATACTTTTTACTGTAAACTACCTCAAATCTTTCTCAGGAATAGGTGCGAGATATGTGTGATAAATAAGTTAGAAGTAAATGTCGATGAGAGGCAAGTGGGTTTAAAAAGAAGCAGCAGAAGCAGGAAACAGGTCCTGCACCTTGGTAGCTGTGTGCCCCTGGATAAGCCCCTTCGTCTCTGAATCTATACTTGCTTATCAGTAAAATGGGGATCCTGATGCCTGACACCGTCCCTGAGTTGAAATGGAAATTGGCTAACACAATGCTATGAAATCCTGGGTCGTCTTATTAAAGACCTCATTCCTTCCTCTCTTCTCTCATACTGGGAGCCCCCCAGGACTCCCGGGTAGAGGGCGCCGGTCCGGCCTTGAAGCTGGGCTCTCAGGGCCTCACTGCGGGGTCTCTGCAGCCTCGGTCGCTGGCACAAATGCTGGACTGCAGCAGCCGCTGGGGTCCCCTAGGGGACCTGGGCGCCCCTACCTTATCTCTGAGTCCTCCTTAGGGTACTTGTCCACCAGGCTGATGACGTCCAGCACCACTAGCCCCACGCACAGGATCTGCTTCTCTTCCATGAGGCTGATCCCAGAGCTTCCTGCCCGCCCGACTGACGGGTTCCTCCCGGCCTCTGCCTGTTATCCAGGAGGATGGTGTCCTCGCTCCCAGCTGCCCTGGCTCCTCCTCCGCGTGGGAGCTCCTCCTCCAGGGAGCCACCTGCAGCGGCGAGGGGTGCAGGAAACGAAAGGAGCTGGGCCCTTGCTCCCGACACCCGAAGACCCAAGCTGGCCTGGGAAAGCCAACCCGGAGGTCTTGGCCCCCGGTCTTCCCGTAGCAGGTTGCCTGGGCCTGCAGATGGCAACGCCTCCCACTTCTCAGCCTCAGTTTCCTCGCTTGTCAGATGGACTCGGAGCTGATGCAAACCTTTCTAAAGCGCGGCTAAGCGATCTCGAGAATGCAAAGAGAAAATGCGCTGGAAATGCGCTACGTGCCCCGCCCTCTGCTGCACCTGCGTCTCGGACTCCCGACCCTGGACCCGCGAGGTAGAGCTGGGCCTGCATCTGCAGCCCTGCCTGAAGACCGTGGTCGCGGCTGCCCCGCCCCGCCCGGGTGAGTCCCAGCCGAGGCCACGCCTCCGCCGCGGAGCAGCGGGACCCGCCGGGTGGGCGGCAGCCTCACGTGGCGGGAACGCCGAGCGCCCCCTGGCGGACGCCGGCGAAACGGGCGGGACGCTAGGGAGATGTCGCAGAAGCCGGGCAGGCGCCGCTTGCTGCCTGAGCCAACAGCCAGCAGCCCCGAGCCGGGCGGAGGCGGCGAGCGCAGTGCGGTACCCGGGGTTCCCTCCGGAGGCCACGGTCTCTCCCGCCCCGTGCCCTGTGCACGCCTGGCAGCCCCCGACCCCGTACCGGAGCAGAACGGTTCGTTTAGTTTTTTTAGAAAAACCAAGTGTCTTTATTCCTGGATCGTTTAGTACGGCGGTGGGCGGCGCCCGCGCGGGGGAGCCTGGAGCCCCAGGGACTCTGCCTGGAGGGCCAGTGGAGGGAGCGGAGGGTGCGAGGATCGGCTCTTCCGCAGGCCGGCCCTGGAGGGGTTCCAGGGGTATCGCGCCAGGCCAAAAGTCTCCATGGGCGGCCCCGGGCCTCCCTGAGCCGGCGCGCCCCGGGCCTGGGGAGAGGCCCCTCTGGGCGCGGTGCCGCTGCGGGCCCGGGTGCGGCGCTCGCCCAGGGCTGGGTGCTGCGTCCCAGGCGGGACCCCGGGAACCTGCCGCCCCCGCTGTCTCTTCAGCCGGCGTAGACACGTCGGGCGGGACCCCAGTCTACGCGTGTTCAAGCTCTGGGTCCCCATAGAGCAGGGCCCCGCTGAAGATGGTGAGCGGCTCCTCCGAGTGCGCCAGCTGCCCCATGACCAAGTCGACGCAGACCGTGTCCCCGGCCTGCAGCGGCAGGATGAGGCTGAAGACGCCCAGGGTGCCCGGGCTGGGCTGGCTCTCGGCTACCGGCTTATTCTCCAGGCCCTCGGGCTCGTAGCCGCCGGAGTCTACGCGGGCCACGCCCTGGTTGGAGCGGGACAGCACGGCCTCCACTTTCTCGTGCCGGTGCCCAGTCAGCACCGCGCTCAGCAAGTAGCGTCCGGCCAGTGGCGCTGTGAACACGCCTGGGAACAAGGATAGCAGTCAGGGGGGCCAGGGAAGCTCCGGGGAGCGCACCAGAACTCCTGGACTCCGGAGGGACCCGCTGGGTCTTTTCCCCTCACTGGAATGCAAGCAGCAGGGAACTTGGGGCTTTGTTCACTATGCATCCCCAGCCCTTAAAACAGTGCCTGGGCAGGAGCAGACCCCAGTAGAGATCTGCTGAATGAATGAATGACTACTACTTCTCCCCACTGGCTGAGAATGAATAAATGAAGAAAGAGCCGAGGTCTCCCCAAATCAGAGAATGAAAAGATTCACACTGTCGGAAGAGGCAAGAATGGGAAGATAACACTGCACACCTTACCCATTTCTCCAACTGTTCAACCCAGCCCCTCCCAGGCCTACCTGTCTCTGGATCATAATAGCCTCCATCATTGAGCAGGACTCTGTCGAAGGGGACCGTGCCTGGTTCAGACCGGGGCAAACTCAGGGCAGCTGAAAATGCCACTCGGGGCACAGGGGCTGCTGGTGCCCCCTCCACTCCTGAGCAGGAAGGGTGGGTGTTAAAGGGGATGCTCAGGGCAGAGTGCCAGCCCCCTTCCCCTGCTGGATCCCCAGCCCAGGGCTGCCCGAGGACCTCCATCCTCCAACCCCTAGTCGCTTCTCCCCCAAGAATCAAATGAAAGGCACTCACCCTGTTCACCTTGAGGACCTGTGAGAAGAGGAAAGGGAGAAGTGAGAAGTAAAGCAGCTCTCACTAAGTCACTCAGCAAACATCTGCTGAGGCTCTCCTGTTGTGCTGGGTGCTACATGGACTTCAAAGAAGGAATTGGGGTATCAAGAAAAATAGGAATAGGTAGGGTCCATTCTGTTCAACTGCTGGGCCATCCCAGCTTTTCACACCCCAGTCAGCCATAATAGACTCAGCTTTAGTCTCCAGTACTGCAGTGGGGCCAACATTATCCATTAGCCTCCTATTACCCATTAACCAAACACAGTGACTATCACAGTTCCTCCTCACTTTCCTCTGATTTTCCCTATCAGTCAAGTAGGACCCAATTCCCCTTGTCAAGTTCAGAGTGGAATGTCGAGCCTGGGGCTGCCAGAGGGGGTCAGGGTTGGAGGGTGGGCAGTGGCAACCCTGACTGCAGCAAGGGTCTCAGTGCACATACATACCTGGAGGCCCGATGGGCCCCTCTTGCCCGTCCTTGCCTGGCGATCCTGGAGGTCCAGCAGGGCCTGGGGGCCCCTGCAGCCCAGGAGGCCCTGGGGGCCCAGCCTCTCCTGCAGGCCCTACAGTGACAAAATTGAGTTGAAAGAGGGCCATAAAAGGAGTTTCCAATGGGTAAGGAAGGTGGGTGGTGGCTTCACGAACAAGGAGAAGATAGATGGAACAGGTGGAGCTTTGCAGACTGAGGGGGCGATGGGGTCCCTTGCTGCATATGCTGGATCCCTGGCTGGCACAGCAACATCCTCTCTCCACCCACAGGCCTAGTGAGCAGCCAGAGGGAGGGCAGGGAGCTAGGACCTTGCATCCTCTCTTGCAGGCAAACTCTAACACCTGGAATAGTGGTTGGGGCTGCAATTCATGCTGGGAAAAGCAAGGAGAAAGCAGATGAGTTGGAAGCTGGGCTGGGGGAGGGGGAAGAAAAATAAGGGGCTTGAAAGGGGTCCCCTCATGCCTTTTGTCCCCTCACCAGTGAGGTCCTTCAGGCTAAGCTGGTGCAGACGGTCCTCCAGGAGCTGCAGGGAGCTGTTAAGGGCACCGAGCCGCCTGCCCAGACCCGCCTGTCCCCCCACCAGCTTCTCCAACAGGGCTGCCTGCGTCTGGCTGGTGGTGTTGGTTTCCCGTAGCCCGGCCCAGAGCCCAGCCACGTGTCTGGAAAGGCCCTCGCGCAGGCCCTGCAGTCCCCCAGCCACGGTGTCCAGCCGTTCACAGACACCCTCAAGACGGCCCAATCGCCCCTCTAGGCTGGGGCACTGGCCGGCCTGTGCCTGTCCCTCCTCCAGGCCTCGGAAGCGCTCCTCACTCTCCGTAGCATGCTCTGTGGCCTCCTGCTGCAGCCTATTAATCTCAGAAATAATGCGGTCCTTGGTGGCCCCCAGGTCAGCCAGATCAGCGCCCTGGCCCTCCACCGTGGTCTGGAGCTCATTCAGTGAGTCATTGAGGGAGCTGAAGGTGAGAATAACCTCAGAAAGCTCTCCTTGCAGGGCCTGCAGGGCTGAGCCTGAGCTGCCCCCAAACACGCTGAAGCCGTCCAGGGGCCCACGGCTTGGTCCCCCAACACCTGGACCAGCCCCAGGACCCCGAGGAGGCAACAGGGGGCAGGAGCAGCGCTCCACACCATCCCGAAGGCGGCCTAGTTCCTCTTGAACTCCACCACAGGCCCCACATCCCTCATCCCCATGGGCCTGCAGCAGCCCCTCCAGTTGGCCTAGCCGGGCCGCAGTGAGATTCAGCCGTAACGTGAACTCTGCAGCTGTCTCGTCCTGGGCATCTACACGATCCTGGAGCCGGCCCACAACCCCTTGTAGTCCCTCCAGCATGGCCTGCCGGGCCTCCCCCGCTGCTTCCACCGTGTGCAGGCCTGAGCCCACCAGCCGCAGCTGTCCCTCACTGTCCAGCACCCTGCGTTCCAAGGCACTGAGGATCTCGCTGACCTGAGAGTCCTGCTCCCCAGGGGCCCCAGAGCAGAGCTGCCCGCATGCCTGCATGGCCCCTGCCACCTGCTCCTCCAACAGATCCAGCCGCCCCCCCAGCTCCCCGCTCACATTGGCCAGCAGCGACCCCAGCTGCTCTAGTCGGCCCTGGGCAGCAGGCAGCCAGTGGCTCAGCCCCCCAGGAGCCCCAGGCCAGCTCTCCTCCTGCTCCTCCGAGGGGCCCAGGGTGGAGTTGAAGCGGTCCTCCAGGCGAGACAGGCGGGAGGCCAAGCTGGTGTAGCCTGGGGGATGGCCCCCCTGCCCCGCAGCTCCTCCCAGCTCTGTGCCTCGCCGCCCACTCAGCACTGTCACTGAGCCGGCCACCACATCCAGCCTGCGCTCCAGCTCTGCCAGTCGCCGGCCCAGCTCTGGAGAGCAGCATTCCTGAGGGGGCCTGCGTCCCACGGCCAGCCCAGGGAGGTGCCGTTGCTGCTCCTCCACGGAGGCCAGCAGCTTCTCCAGTGCTCGCAGCCGCTCCCTGTCCTCCTGCTGCTGCCGGCGGAAGCCATCCAGCCCGGCCAGGCACACAGAGCAGGACTCCTGCAACCGCTGCTCCAGCTGCCGCAGCAGCTCCTCACTGGGGCCCGGAGGGGCTGAGGCTGGGGCTGCGGCCCTGCTGCCCCCACTGCTGCTGCTGCCGCCATGATGGTTGTTGAGGTGACCCAGCTCCTGGTCGTGGGTGGAGACGCGGGTGTCCAGGAGCTGCAGCTGGTGCTGGATCTCGTTGAGGGTTTCATGCACCCCAGGGCGGGCAGCCGCGTCAGCTGGCTGCTGCCTCCCGTTGAAGGCTGTCTCCACAGCCCTCTGCACATCCTCTGCCAGGCGCCCGCTCAGTCCTTGCAGGACGCCCCGCAGACCTTGCAGCTCCTTGGTCAGGCTCTGCACCTGTTCCTCCAGCTGCTGCACCTTCTCTGACTCCCCAGGACCTAAGGAGAGGGGAAGGCAGAAGGCAGAGAGGCTGGACCCCAGAGCTCAGGGCCCCTGCTCACCCCAGCTCCAGCAAGGGTAAGATGCCCAGGCTGGCTCCGTCTCTCCTTTGGGTGATTTTGGCAAGATGAAAAAAAGGAAACTCCATTCACTGAATGCCTCTAGGCCAAATTTGAACATGACTCTGTTCTCCAACAACTCCCCTGGGGAGGTACCATGAACTCTTCCCATCATATAGGCTGGGAAACTGGACCAGAGATATTAGGAACCTGGCTATGGATCACAGGTTTAATAAGTGGCAATGCTAAGTTTCAAACCTCGACCATCTATCCGGCCCCCAGGTCC